GGATGGATGGATGGATGGATGGATGGATGGATGGATGGATGCATGATAGGTGGATGGATGGATGCATGGATGGATGGATGGATGGATGGAGCTGACTCACAGCTGCTCCTTTCCTTTAGGGTCATGGCGACCACCCAGATGCAGCCAACGGATGCCAGGAAGTCCTTCCCCTGCTTTGACGAACCGGCCCTGAAATCTTATTTCAACATCATTCTGATCCATGATGTGGGAACCGTGGCTCTGTCCAACGGCAGGGAACTAGGTCAGTACTGAAGGTCTGACAGCCACAGGTCCTCATGAGATGAAGAAGGAAGCTCTGGCCTTCTTCCGAACACAACACCAAGAAACCAAGCACTGTGTTTTTGTTTTTTGAACAGAAAGCAAGAACGTCGTTATAGATGGGCAGAATGTGCTGAGAACAGTTTTTGAGCGCACCGAGAAGATGTCCACCTATCTGCTGGCATTCATCGTTAGTGACTACGGCAATATTGGCAACAACATCGGCGGAGTTGATGTAATTCCCCTGCCTGCATCATTAACCTCTCTATTATATGTTGTCTGTGCCCTCATGTAAATTACTGTAGCTGTATCAGTTCTGCTTGTAGTAAAATCCCCAAGTTTGGTTCTGAATCTCTGTCTCTTGATGGCTTTTGACTGCTTTTCTTTTTTCTTTTCAGATCCGAATCTTTGCCCGGAAACCTGCCATCACTGCTGGCCAAGGAGACTATGCCCTCAACATAACCGGACCCATCCTGAAATTCTTTGAGGAGTACTACAACTCCACATACCCGCTGCCCAAATCCGGTCAGTCACCCTGATTTGTCTAACACAGACTGGTCCCAGTCGCTCAGAACCTTAACTTAGTACTACGGTACCTTTCTGAGCATGAATAGGTAAAACATGTCTTTCAAGATTAGGTCTTTAACAAATCTTTGGATTGATCTCCTAAAAACAGCAGCTAACATCCCTTATTTTGTAACAGAGATGTATTGTCCTCTCATTTTGTTGAGCCAGCTTCCTGAATGATTGCCAGAAGTTTGTGTGTAAATATATTTTCCATCCTCTTCTTCCTCACATCGACCCTTCCTGAAATTCTACCAAAAGATTTGCGTGACCATGAAGACAGAAATACAGACACAGATTCCCCCAGATTAAGATTTTAAATAGAGCTTAGAGCTCAGACTACTGCACAACAAAAAGTACCGTTCGATTCTGATGGCTTCCATTTCTTTACCTTTACTTTAACAAAGGTAGGTGGTTCTGACGGATCTTCTGCAAACGTCACATGTTCCAGTCCATAATGGTAGAACAGAAAACATCCAATCCGTAATGTAATGTAAGAAGGAACCAGAGGCTAATGCGAACGTATCACTAGTGGGAACTTTAGTACTGCTACTTTCAGCAGGTCTTTGGAGCTTTAATATAGATAACTGTCCCTGAAATGGTCGAAAAATTCAGCTTGACCTGGATGACTGAGAATCTTTACAGATATGTCCCTGAAACATGTGATTTTTTTTTTATGAAAATAGGATATCTTAAAAACTTCCATTTACTGCAGTTTTATTTTCGGAAAAGGCGACATAATCCCC